CTACCAGCTAGACGACCCAACCGGGGTCACATAGGAGGGGGGGGTTGGACCCCCTCCTGCGGTTCCTGCCGGAGATATTTTATCGCGAGAAGGGTACAACAATCCCTTTCCTCACGACCAATAAAGTCAATCAAGTTTATCAACAACGAGCTTTGCAGCGCGTCGCTTCCTGAATGTATGTGTGGGGCGTTCCGTGTCACGCACCTCGATTTCGGCGACTTCCTCGCCGCGTCCCGCTGTAGTAGTGGCCATGCCAGCGCTTGGGTTAAGGCTCCGGATATCAACTCTGTTCGCCGCGCTTTTGGTAACCGCAGCCGGCATCGCGCGAGAGCGGTATGTCGGGATATACGGAACCGTTCACATGTGAGAAGGGGGATCGGGTGGGAGTAACAAAAAGGAAGAGATAGACACGAGATAAGAGGGGGGAAGGCACGACGGAGGACTTCATGAGGGCGGGGGTGCAAGAGAACAAACAAGAAACAAGTAAAGCCGCACAGAGACAATTCGCCGTCGAGGAAAGTTGAATTGGGCGGACGTTGTTCAGAACAAGGGTCTGGCTCACAACGAAGACACCTAAATGATTGCGGAGTTACTTGCGTCCAGATGGCTTCCGACGCTTGTGCGTATTGTGTGTAATAGGGCGGCAGTTTTTCATATGCCGTCGTTTTCGGTCCAGTGGAAACGGCAAACGGCGAGCGGTGAGTACCTACCTCAAGGAAAGCAGGCGTGGCGAAAGCTTGTGCGCCGGTGCTGAGGGGAGAGCACCGGAGCGCTGCAAGAGAGAGCAAGGCGATCCTCACGTGCGGTTCTTGCAGCTGCCGTTCTGCAGCCGAAGGAAATGGTTCGAGAGAGGCGTCGAACGCGTTTTTTTCGTCGAGTTGTATCACAGACGATATATACTGTACATACAATAACAGAAAGACTACCCGCTCGAGACTAGGCCCCAATTGTGTTCCGTCTTCACAGGAGTGACCTTGAGTGTTGAGAAAAATCTGGTGGATACCGAGATTTGCGTGTTGGAGCGGTACAGATGTTGAACGGCAGTCGGCGAGACTGCCAAAATAATTTCAACACCCCAATCGCAACCCTCAAGGTGAGATCAAGCAATGGTTTTTTGAGTAACCTGCACTCTCCCCATAAATATGAAACCGTTAGCAAAAACGGTGGAGTGGCAAAGGTGCAAACAGAAAACAATCGAAAGAAACAATCGCGATCATGTTCCATATCCTTCACTGCTGTACCAAAATATATCCAAATGGGGGGGGGGGGGGG